TACTTGATCTTGTTGAGCGACACTAAGTCTTTCCAAAGAAACTCCAAACCCCAGTCAACTTAACCTTAAATACAACTCGATATAATGACATTTTGGACATGGAGCTTTACCAATACGCTTTAGATCTAACAAAAATGAGTATAGAGAAACATAATGATTTTAATATAGGACTAAAATATATTCAGCAAAATATAGACTAGTTATGATTGTTAATTCTAATTTACAAATAGCAACCTTTTATCTTATGTCAATAATGGAAGAATTACATTCATTAATTTATTATCATTCCAGTAAATTTCTAATTTTTTTTTTGTGCCACAATAAATTTCTAAAGAACAGATTTTGTTACAATGAAAAAAACTCGATACATATCAAATTGTGATGACAATCTTTATCCATGGAAAAGTATCTAATGTAATGATTATCCAATGCTATCGAAAAGACTGAATTAGACTAAATTGGGAATTGGGAGCATGCAAAATTCTTTTTATCCATCTCCCGTGGAAACTAATCGCCGATGTGCCTAAAGGGAATAATGGACTCTTTTGAAGATGTTTTTCCATAATTTGAAATCCATCATTAAAGTGAAAAGTGGTAACATATTATCTATCAAAAAAGGTACATATTATAAGCATTTTGCCCTAACTCCAATCGAATTTTGACATAAACACAATATATAATTAATGCATTCTATTTATGACAAATCTGTTATTTAATTAATATTCCATTCAATTTCATAATAGAGTCCCTAGATTCAAATCATAGTAATTTGTTAATCACAAAGATTTGCGATTGTGAGATACAAATTATATATGACTGAATTTTATATCTTTCCACACATGTTTGTTCATCATTCAACTCTTTGGAAAAATCATTGTGTTAGCATTTATACCATTATGTTGTTTTTTGTAAATCAGGTGACATAGATGTAAGTATCACATATGTTGCAGTATTATCATAATCACTGTGTTTAATATAGCAGTCGTCTCTTCCTTAGTCAAGTCATCGGTGTCTTTGGAAATGGCTACTCAAGGACATAACCAAATTTCTAATGATTGAAAACAATTATCAGATTGTAGTGCCAATCAAGAAGATTTGGTTTGGTTGTGGTATCCAATATGCCTCTCAAACGGTTACTTATAATTCAATAAATGTAAATGACGAAAAATAAGAATAATATATAGAATGTATCAATTAATTTAACATGGTCATTCATTAAATTAATTATGTTCTCACTGTTTAATTCAAATTTATGACTCCCACACATAAATTTATGGAATCCATACTAGACTTCAAGTGGGCCAGGATCTCATTTGTTATATTATGACCTTGAGTTACTTAACAAGCATTAATAAAACATTTCGGTATCTCCATACGACTCTCATATCATTAAGCTAACAACTCTTTGTTATCACACATCTTAAGTGCTATCTTAATATGCCTATAAAATTTATCTTCTTGAATGTACTCAATAAAAGATAAATTTTAGTTAAGTCGAACCCATCATTTAGAAATATCTAATATGTCATAGTGTCAAATATGTCCATAATAGTCCAGCATTGAGTATACTCAACAAGATGAGATCGATTACGGACTCTAGTTTTCACCATAATGATGGAAGACGAATATAATCTCACTTAATATTTTAGCGAGGGATTTATCATACATAGGTCTCATCATAATAATTATATGTACTTTATCATATATTTAGCATGCAAATAAACATACATATATGAAGAATGTATTTTATCACCGTAATGAGAAATTTTTGCCAACTATTATTTTTAATTTTTAAATTTTTTTCTCTCAGTTTAGCCGGTAATTAATTGCACACGGACCAAAGTCAGTGTGTATCTGTTTTAGAGCGTGTTTTGTGCTTTTAAAGGTCAAGCAAGTGCCATCAAACACATTGCTTAACCAGAGTCGATTTTGATTTAATCAATTTTTTTGTTTTCCATTTTCAATTTTTGAGTTTGACAAAATATATGTTATGCTAGAATTCCATTCCATTGACATATAGTGTTAGTTATCAATTAACTAATAGATATTTATATGATAAAATATTTACAAAATTAGTTAATTTCATGATTATTATAATTTTTTTTGTGTCGTTAACACTTAATGTTTAGATTGTGTCTGTATAATCGACTTTGATTGATAAATTTATGAAAGAATTGCATTTCAATTGGCCCAATGCAATTTAATATATCAGTTATTGTAATTTAATATGTTAGCTGAACTCCAAGAAGAAAAGGATCAGTTATAAGTTTAAAAAAAAAAAGGAGCTAACAGGGTAATATACGAATAATTAGATATGACATAAAACACGTCATCCTTATCTGAATGGATATTGAAAAACTAAGAATTTCAAGAAAAAGATCCCATCTTCCTTTTGTGGCATGAGCTGATAAAATGTCATTTTCAATGATGTTCTGTAAACCAATTTTTTAAAATTTACAATTCTAGGATTAGAAATTAAAAGGGATTCAATAATTCAATTTTCTATTAAAAAGGCCATCAAACTTTTAGAAATAATGATCTACTACAACTGAAAGTCAAGCTAAAAAAGTGAGACAAAAAAATTATGGTTGTTTAAGCACGTAATTTCAAATTTCTTTTCGATAGGAAACTAAAGAATATGAATTTTTCATGGACAAATTAATATTTATTCTATATATTCTAAAGGATATATTAAATTTCCCTTAGTATCTCTACATGGTCTTTCTTGATGAAGTTATATTATTTTTTTTAATCTTATTTAATACTATCAAATCTATCAAATTGAATTTCTCAATAAGAAAAGAAAAAGAAAAGAAAAAGAAAAAGTAATATCATATCACAAACAAAATCTAAATAAAAACGTGACAATATATGAGAAAAATTAAATTATAAAAAATTAATTTATTATTTCTTTAGAAAGCATGTCATGACTAGAAACCCACCTTATTTTAATTACATGAATTAACTTAGAGCACAAATTTATCTATGACATGCATGCATTTGAGGAATTAATTATCTCTTCATGCCCCAAGCAATTGACTTTGACCATTAGAGATTTCATGTGAGAATTCCTTAGTTTATCAACATCATGTCTGGAAATGACAACCTACGTTTCCACATTTGCAATCTTAAAAATGACAATATAACCAACAGTATGGATGAACAAAATAAAAATTAATTCAAGTACTAATTTCAGAGAAACCAATAAGACTCTCTCGAAACAAACTAATCTATTTGTAACAATAGTTCATAGATGTCATATTCATTCTCTTAGAAAATAATTAATAGATGACGTATTCATTTCTCTTTGAAGTGTAAATGCAAGATTATTTGCACGTTATTTCCTTCAACTAAGGAACATAGCTAACTCTATATCCCACTATATTATAGAATAATTGAAATTTCAAAATTAAATAAAACATAAAATAAACAATCACAACCTAATATAATGAAGCTAATATTTACATTAGGTTGACATGCACAGGTCTCTACGGTTGATTTGGTGGACTATATTCAACATTTAGTTTTTGTCTCTTTTAATATATATTATGACTTGTCTTTTCTCCCCCTCTTTCCATGTGCCCCTCTCTCCCTGCTCTTATCAATTGTAACCTCCAAAACCTCTTTGCATATCATAATACTATTTACTGTTCGATTCCTTTGCAGGTGAAGTTATTCAACCTTGAATTTAAGTATATTCCGATATGCAATTTTGTAAATTTTGCTTTTAAGGTTTGTGTGTTTATGCATCATATATAATAGGGTAGACAATTTTATTTTATGGTGAATCATAGGGTTCATGAACTGAAAATTTGCATGGTGTAGTTCTAAAAAGTAATCTTGATGTATATTTTGTTGATTGTTTCATGGCTTCTTTTTCCTATGAAACTCGTGGGGATACCATCCATGAGCTAAACATTATTTAAAAATTTTCAGCATTCAATCAACTATCAATTTACAATTTTTGATGTAAGGACTGGGGTGTTTTGGTTCTTCAATTGTGCAGATTGCATAGGCTCAGCGAACTTGGTGGACTATATTCAACATTTAGTTTCTTTCTTTCAATATTTATTATGACTTTTCTTTTCTCCCCCTCTTTCCATGTAACCCTCTCAAACACTTTTTTCACCGAACTCAATTTAAATTGTATATTCTCCCAACAAAATAATTTGCATGTGAATTCGTAATCATTTCTCTCATTTTTAACCCCCAAAACAAAAAAAAAAATTATAGTTTTAGCAAAATCTGTTTAAAAATAAATATCTGCCAAACAAGGGCTCATTAATTATTTTCTCATGCAACAAGCGACTGGCTTTGACTATTAAGGAATTAAAGTGTGAATTCTTAATATACCATTTCATGTTTGGAAATATCTGAGAGGCACGTTCTTCCTCTAGGCATTTCGGAACTTAAACATCACAACTTCCCTCAAAAATTAAGCTCGATTCTTCTTGGCTTTGTGATTTCTTCTTGGATTGGTGAAATCGATAATGAGTAATAAAGAAATATTGAGACCGACGACATATTTGGCAATTCAAACATCGTATTTACATGTCCAAAAGCGTCATAGATCAGCTAACTACACCTGTTTTGGTTGCGTGATTTCTTATACTTTTACATGAAGTTAGTTATTTCATGCAGGTTCTTTGATGTAAGTCTCAGGTCATTAGGCCATTAGGACTTACTCTTGTCCTATTTTATGAATTAATACAAAAAATGTTCGAAAGGAGAAAACATTTGGGAAAATTCATGTATATTACTGAATGCTAGCTACATCATAATTAATTGTTAGATCTAATTATTTGAGTGCAACTTATTCATAATTGGTAGAAAATTTGGTGGGAATGAAGATGGTATTTTTGTTAACATTTTATAATCTTCTTCTATTTTCAACATAAAATTATTGAATTATGGCATTGACAAGAAAATTATTATACTCCTGAATATTGTTTAAAATGGAACATTCGAAATAACGTATTTTATCTCCAGGTCAAGAAGAAATGAGGACATCTCTCCTATTGACGTTTCTGATTTTATCTCTGCTTTTCATCCTGGTAAGTAGTCACTTTTTCTTTAAAGTTTTCAGTTAAAAAATTTATTCTTTGGCTAATCTTGATTCCCAGAAAAGAAAGTTAGTTGTAAAATTTAAACTATATAAAGTTTCTTTATTTATCACTTTTTTTTGGTCAAATAACACAATAATAATATCGCGTGTTTGTGTAATTGATGCTCAGGTTCTTCAGCAACCGAGTCAATATAAAGGAAAAAATGGTATGTAAAAATTATTTTACAAAAAAGTGTTTTTATTACCACTTGATTTAAAATTTTGAGCTAAGATTGGAGAATGTTGTCACATTTAAAAAATTTCAAAGAACTCTCACCATAAGATATGTTTCACACCATATGAGATCTAGTATACAAGGCTAAGATCATGATACTCGTCGTAAAGTAAGTCAGTTATTCGAGCAAGTACATATATAGATGTCAATCCTAAGATGTTCTACTAGATCTTCGTAACTTTCCTTTTCAAATAGGAAATTGACGCCAGCCCCGCGAAATATATTGTGCTGAAAGCTTGAGCTAAGGATACATGGGTATCATTCAACAACTATAAGAATACCTAGTTAGGACTCTACGAAGACACAAGTCCAAAAAAACTTTGACAACTAATCATCCCAAAAGATTGAAACTTTTTGGCAAAAATACATTAAAATTACGAAATTGTACGTCAATGTTCGTGGGCACCCATCTTCTATACTAGCTAATACATTCTCATTCCACCTAAAGTGGTGGAAAATCGACGAGTAATATCCAGGGTCCAAAGAAATGGATTTAGTTACATCCATGTTTGACTCACATTACAAATATACTTATAATCAAATAAATTTATAAATATATATAGTTTTAATAAATATTCTTTTCATGAATAAAATTAATATAAAAATGTTTACTTATTTTGATAATAACATCTATTTTATGACCAAAATAAGTAAACTCTTTTTTACTTATAAGTATGAATAAGTAATATATAAAAACATAGCATGATACAAAAAATTATTTACTTTAAAGCATAGACAAATATAGCATCTCTTAATATTAAAATAAGTCATTCATTTTTAGCTTTGATAAATAAAATTTATTTATTAGAAAATTTACTTATTTGGATATAAGTGAGCCTTTTAAACTTAGTCAAACATGCATGAAATAAATACCTAATTTGGTACGAGTTATTCACGTTGCATGAATGTGAATTAAATAAATATGTAATTACTGTTAAGTTTTTAATTAAATTTGAACAATTTGACATTGGGCTTGAGCACAGATTGATGTTGATTGGGCTAAAAGGAATTATGGTATTGAAGATTTTTAATTTGTTTTTCATTTGTAAGCTTACGATGCTTGATCACAATACTAACTCTGGAGTTTTTTTAGCTTATTACACGTTCAGTAGATTAAACTTCCACGCTGATTTCAGTTTCATTTAATTTGTAGTTTTTACAAGACATTATTTAATTTAGTATTTTTTGTTTAATTTCTTAATATTGTCGAGCACTAACCAATATGTCTACAAAACATACTTGTTTGATTCTTATATCACGTTTTTTTAGCTTTTATCACTATGAAATACTTGCTTTTTTTTCTTTTTTTTTTTCCTTTAGTTTGTTAATTAGCTTCCTTTATTGATTAGTAAAAGGAGCTATAATAAAAGTATATGGCTTTAAGCTGGCATTGCAGTGGCCAAATGCCTATTGTAATACAGGATACCAGAACTGTGAACTTCCAGTTCCACAAAAATTCAAAATACATGGTTTTTGGCCTGTGGATAACAACGGACAAGTAATGCATAATGAAGACCAATTTGGAAGAAACTACTTGAAGGAAGAGGATGTATGTATAAATTTCCTTCTAGATTACATAGTATTAAAAATCATTCTTTCCAGTTTTAGCTTGGTTCCAATTCAATTTTATGATTAGCTTACCTTCTATAAGATTTGGCACTTGTGTTATTAGGTGGCAGATGTAAAGGAAGAATTGGATGAAATGTGGCCGGATCTTCGTCACGAAAAACAAAAGTTTTATTTCTGGGCCGAGGAATGGAGAAAGCATGGAAATGATATTGGATATACCCCAAACTCCTATTTCAAGTTGGCTCTACTGTGTAAGAGAAAATTGAATAAGACTATTGGGGGAGATCTAGTTGAATATTTAAG